CACAGCAAACACTGCCACCACAGGGCTAAGGAAGCCAAGCCGTGCATGCAGCCCCACACAGGGAATCTGCAATCACCTGCTCTTCTTGGCCATCACCACCGTGCCTGCATTTTAGCAGCCTGGGCATGGCGGTGATAACCCCTAATCTTAGCTCACAGAGGCCTCAAATGAGGGGATTATCCATTCACTGACAAGGGCCCCGGAATCTCTTCACATATGCCTTTGAAGATTTAATGCTTTGGTTTTTAATCATCATGAACAATTTGGTCCAGATCTTAGTATGAAAATCTGGGCCTGAGTATCAATTTAAAAAATGTTTACTGAGCTACCATGTGCAAAAGCAAAGTGCAAATTCTGATGGAAAACAGAAGCAGGAGTCCCTGGGTGATGCAAACGGTTAATGTACTTGGCTGCTAATTGAAGGTTGGAGGTTGGAGTCCATCCAGAGGTGCCTCGGAAGAAAGGCCTGGCAGAATGAGTTGGAAATGACTTGATGGCAAGTGGTTACTGGTTATGGAAGCAGAAAACAAATTCTCCAAGGAACCTAAAATCTTTTAAGGGGGGAATCAGACTCACATACTTAGGAAGATATAAGAAAGTACAAGCTCCAGACAAAAACTAGAAACATATACCCTACAAATTAGACTGGTTTTCACCTTATAAATCATTTAATGAAACATTTATGGAGCCATGAGGAGACGCCTGATTCAGCTCAAGGTCAAAAGAAGTTTCCTTGGGCATCTCCCAGTCTCTTGGTGGTACAGACGTCTTCTCATTGCCAAACTGCAGGATAACCCAGAGCCTTCTCTCTCTAGGCTAATGCTTCCTGGTTATAATTTCAAAGAGTTTCGCATTAACTACGTGGGAAGTTTACTATACCATAATTTAACTACAAAGCATAACCTCCCAGAACCTAGCACCATCCCTGCCACAATTTAACAAGTACTCCCTAAGAGTTTATTGAGCAAGGCATGAGTCAAACAGAGAGCCTTATGGTCAGGCTCCTCATTTGTTTCATTTTACTGAAGGTAAACCATCTTTTCAGAGCAGGCTCGACTCACAAGGCAGCCATTACCTCATGTTAACTGCTAATGTGGTTACCTTGGAAAGGGCTGTGTGAGGACTCACAGATCGCTCCGTATTTTTCTCTTTTTCTCTACTGTGAGTCTTTTACAATGAAAACTAGGTATCTTCATCAATAACTGGCATTGTAATAAAAACACTAGAAACTCTCCTAATTTGTAGGATAAAGAGTAATGAACTCTCCTTGCAGGCCCCTTCTAGCTCTATGACATGAAGCTCTGTGTCAGCTGATGAACTAGGCATTCTGGGGAACATGAAGAAGCATCCTACTAACCACGCATGGTTAACACCTTTGCTCCAAGACTTGGGGGGAAGAGAAATGACAGGTGCACATAAAAGCAGAGATAATGCGGGACAGGGAGAGAAGCCTGCTACTGACGGTGGGTCAAGTCATCTAAAAGCCTTATTAGCACTCTGGTTAAAGCAAGCAGACAGAAAGAAGCCACCGTTTCTCTGTGTCCGATGGCATTCTACTCAGAGCACTGAAAGCCTCAGCTGTTTACGTACTCACAAGGTATGAAGCGACTGCCTCTGAGCTAGGTGCAGGGCCAAGGAAGGAGGGAGTGCTGAGGACGGGAGGCCGGTGGTCTGTAAGGGTCCTGGGCCCCCTAGGTCACATCATATCATATAAATCTGCCCTGGATCCCCATTCCCAGCAGCCTGGAGCAGAGAGCACTGTTCACTTGCTCTGAAGTGGGGACACTGAGGCAGGGGGCAAAGCTGGTGATTACGACGAACAGTTACTGAGAACCTACTATATGCCAAGCATTGTGCCCTGGGGTACAAAGATAATGAAGACACTGTTCCACAGGGTATTCAAACACGTAAACATAAATGGAAAACTATGGCAGGCACAAGACACAGGGGCATGTTATGAAGGCACAGGGAGGCAGCAGCTGTCTAGGCCTGAACACTGCTGACCACTGCATCTGCCCCATTACGAAGGCTAGCTTGTACCCAGCAGATGCTCAGAAATGTCAAACCGAAGGGCACCAAAGCAAAAATGGATGATGGCACTGCTCAGTGCCACTGGAGACTACAGGCTGCGCGCGCGTTTCCCCACTAGCTAAAGCTCAACTCATAACTCTCAAATCTAGCAAGACCACTTTCCAAAGTAAGGGAACACAATTCCTTTTCTCAAGGACTAGAGGTACGAGGACTAGGCTTTTGGTGTTCAGAGGGACAGGCCCACACTCCCTTATCTGCAATTCTGAAATCCACAAAGCTCTGAAAATGGAAAGCTTTCCTGCTACTCGCTTGGTGGCAAACCATGACCTGATGTGAGGTTACTGTCTTTAGTCATCCCACTTAATGTGAATATTGAGACAGTTTGCTGCAGAAATGTCCATTTCTTTGATTAGATGGTGCTGCTCAGAGCCTGCTGGGCTTGTTAAGAGTACGTGGTGTATGCACTCTTTTCCCTTTCTTAAGCTCAAAAAATGCAGAATTATGAGACACATCCAGTCCTAAAGGTTTCATAAAGAATTATAGACCTGTGAAACTATCCTTTTATTATGTATTTGAAGATCACTGACAGCTATTATTGATTTAAAACATATACTATCATTAACATGCAAAACCAAACATGCTTTGTTTATTCTCTGGGAAGACAGAATAAAAAGTATGACGTCTATCCCAGTGATCTCAATTTAAAAAAAAAAAAAGATTTGAAACCAGCAGGTGGGTCGGACCCCTGGGAGACCATCACAGATAACTTACGGGTGAGGTTTCATTTCTATGTAATTCTTGGGAATGAAGCCATCTTTCCCATTGAGCTCTGCCTTGTACCAGTTCTGATCACATTCTTCATTCAAGACCTGTAAAAGACGACAAGGAAAAAATCAATCATTTCCTTTTCACTTTTAAAAGGGCAGCAACTAAGATGCTTAAGCTGTCTTTTAGGTTTGTCTATAAAAGATGTTACTGGACGTATTATCAGTTACATGGATGTAAAACTTCTTGTGACTTCAAACCATCAGAATTATGTTAACTCTGAGAATTAAAACTAAATAGAAATTGTCTTTGGAAATAAAAGTTTACGCTCCCAAACATCTATATCACACCCTCAGTAGGAAAGCAGGTGGAAGGATGACAGGGAAAAGTACAGATCCACTTCACAGCGACATCAGAGAACGAAGGGAACTGGACGAGGATGAGGTAATTCGGCACCTGGGAGAGCCGTCTAATGGTGGGGGTGAGCAGCAACAGAGAGAGCTTTCGGGCTTCTCTAGAGATCTGCAAGCCAGTTTCCACAATTCACAGATTGGATCCAATCTCCAAAATCCACAGTGACCCAGTCTTGGGCTTCTCTAAGAGCTTCTCCAGGTCATCACAAGTATGGGTCAGCCAACCAACAGCTCCACAATGCTCCTGTTTAGGTGTGTACCCATATGTCCTTGTCTGGGAAGCTGCTCTAATGAAAAGGCAAGGCAAGTCCTACTCCCCTCAGTAACCCTCAAGGGCCACACTGTGTTCAAGTTAGATACTGCTGAAGCCACACAACCAGCACAATTAACTCAGTCAGAAAACTTGGAGATCACATAATTGAACCATTTCATTCTAAAGATGTGAAAACAGGCCTAGAAAAGTGAAAAGATTCACTACCCAAGGTTACAGGCTGGTGACCTCGCATCGCTAAGAATCACACCTGGATTCTCAGATCCCAAATGAGTGTTCTCTCTGTTCACCCCCACACTGCTTCCTGTGAGTTATACTGGCAGACCAGGTTATAAGACTGTACTGTGTACAATACTCTAAGGAGCAGAGAGTTAGATAAAAAGCCTTTCCTTAAGTCCTAGACTTCTAATAAAAGGCAAAGGGCCTAAGAGAGAAAATGGAAATGTGAACGCAACTAGTATAGGAGTAGTTAACCTACATGATATGACAAAGCTCAACAAGGAAGCTGGTAACGTTCCTCACAAAATGATTTCTCCAAGATGCTGAACAATACTGTAATCACAGCTAAATGAGAACCAGGACAGCTTCAGAGTATGTGACGTGTGTGCACTGACATTTCAAAGTGCGAGACAAGAGGGGAAAGGGAGATGAGACAGAGGAGGTACCCAACAGAGGCAAGCTACGTTAATGATGACTGAGATAATTCACTTCTGAGCAGAGGCTGTGTCCCCAACAGTTTCACTGCACTGGGCCACTTCTGTGATGCTTGACAATCTCTCGCCTACCTGGTAGCACTCACCGGGTTTAAGTGCATAAGGTAAGATGGTAGATCCTGTAAGAGCTAGTTAACGTGCATGGTAAGCTCTCAAAAAATCAGCTACTGGTAAATCCCATTAGCCTCAAATTCCCCAAGAGTCACACACAAACACACTGATAGCTTAGTGATAAAAACTTTTTTCTACGCATCATTTCTTCCTTTTTAAAAAAGCACTATATATTTTTTTCTTTTTTTAATTGTACTTCAGGTGAAGGCTTACAGAACAAATAGTTTCTC